TACTAGCAATACCAGAGAGATAGATTTGAGATCGACGGAATCATATTATAATCCTTTTAAGTCTATGTTGAATATATTTTTGACTTATGCATAATGGACTCGACAGTCTGGATACACGTTTTGACCGAGTTCTACGGAACCAAATGAAGTGTCCCTCAAGAAAGAATGGAAACAGAAACAGTAATATTTTGATCAAAACATTCGCATCGATACCTTACATCCGCAAATTCTTTACGCTTTTTCAACCACCACGGGCAAAACCTGGGGAAAAAACANGCTTGTCTGCATCCAATCGTTTGACGAATCCCCAATCGCTAGCCACTAATCCAATCCTTGAGTACAAACGATAATAATTTTTTTGCCAGAAATAGCGGAGAACTAAACTTTACGCACAATATTGTTAGCGATGGTTTTGATGGGGCTAAACAGACGGTTGGAGAACAGTGAGTGAAACAGACATGAAGCTACACAAATCCGGTGATTTTGTCAGGGGTGTTGGTGAGAACCGGAAAGAGGGATTGAGGGCCGGTAGAGAAAATATGGGATGAGGCAGAGGAATGGGATCGACGAAAATCACTTACTTATCGCGCATCACTGCTCCATCGCAAACAGCAGCAAACAACAGTGGGCTAGACAAATCTGAAGATGACGACGAGGAGGAGGAAGAAGGATGGATTCAAGTGCATTGTCAAAGGTTCAAATTAGATTGTTTGGTGTGAATGTGTTTTAGGACAAACACAGTGCGGGAGAGACAAAAACAAACTGATGAGTTAAGGAAGTCACTGCGGTCTTGTCGAGAACAACTTAGGTGATGAGAGAGATAAAGAAAAAGAGAAACATAATTTGACAAACATTGTACTAGGAATATTCTGTGTGCGTATGAGGACCGTGAATAATCAGTATAACCTTTTCCAAATTAACCGAATTCAATAGATTCGAATGAACTTTACTCCGTTCACATCATACGCATATATATAATGTGATTGTAACCAGCAGATCTCCACGCATTGTTTTGTTTCAAAAACCAGCAGTAATAAAATTATTAGTAATAGTAATGCTGACAACAATATCAGTAGTAGTGGTACAATAGTGAATTTCACACCATGACCCGCGTTCCACCGTTGGAAGAAAAGAAAACATCAGGCCAAAGTGAAAAAAGCAGTTTCGTAACTTCAATAAACTCTGAATGAGCACATTGGCAAGCAAACGAATTTATCATTTAGATTCTCGACATGTAATTGTTGATGATCACAGTGGAAAGATGACCGATGGACATGGAGTTAAGCACNCTGTCTCATCCGTGAAATTTCAGAACAAAGAATGATGTGAACCCGAAAAAAGGAAATGTGCAAATCCGCCTGTAGAGAAAGCAAATTCCACTGGTTTTGGTCACCATGTCAAATTTTGTGAAAAAGCTAAGTGATACAATAAACTTTTTAGACAAACCGATTGAGAATCTTTCTAGCTACTGTCCAGGGGATCGTTTAGCTTTTGTCAGACCGTTCATTGTTATTCTGATCACCAAGATCGCATTTTTTCATTTCGAATGAAAGGAGCACATGTACATTCTTCACATTTTATCAATTTATCTCGTTCGCTCTCTCTTCCGTAAAAAGGGGAGAATCCCCATTTGAGAAAAGGATACAGACAATCGAAGTGATAAAGATGGCTAAAATTGTCCCCAGGGGCACTGAAATCTGCGGATTGGCCAGATCACCAGATCGATTTGAACCGGCCATGATACCTGTGATGGTGGGGAAAATCAAAGAGGGAAATGAAAGAGGAATAATTCGAGGGGCCCAGACGGACAGAAGTACATACTAGTAAGGAATTTGAATACAATCTGATATAGATATTCTCTATAGCTTGCCGTCTGGGCTGAAAACATTTAGCTGTCTGATGTTGGAGCAAAGCCGATTCCGGTTTGGGACCCAAAATGAAACACATGTTCAAACACAAACAAAAAGATCTGGCTCGTGTTTATCTGGTCGAATACTGCAACATACCTTGAACAACCTGCTTCATTAGCAGAATGCAATAGAAATGGACTCATTGAATGCAGAATGTATTACCTGATATTCTCACTGCAAAAGTGTATGTGCGTCAGTCAATTGTTGCTTAACATGAACAGGTAATCGCCATACGACAACCCCAAATACCGTATTCAAAAGATCTCAGTTAGCGAAAGAGGCAAGCGTTTGCATATCTACGCAAACCAAACGGATCTTTTGGTGCCCTGTAGCAATCCGTAAAACCAGCTGCTTGGAAAAATAATGAAAGAGCACATTTATTTTTTTTTAAAGTTGTTGTAAGCATAACATTAGTTCAGTAAATATGCACAAATTGATGAGATCTGCTGTTAAAGCCATAATTGGATACCTTCAAGTGTTCAATAACCGAAGAGACTCCCTGACAAATTGATTAAATTTTTAATCTCATATAATCATATATTTGAGTTGAATGTGTCCTGACTGAGCTGGCGTGCGCGAGGGAGGTAGACAGCACAATCGATGGAAGAGGTATGGTGACGTGGGTGACAACTATCAATGCAAACTCCACCGATCTCAATATGTATGCCAGCTAAACTATAAAGGTAAACTCACGTCGATATAGAGCTATTCTTCAGTCTGCACACGTATGCGAACTTGTACAAATGCACTACGAAACCCGAGTCGGATACGATTGACTTCCTGTCATAAGCAAAATAGCTTGGTTTATAGACCATTAATCGAGATTCGCATCGTCCCCTTTCTGCTTACGCTTGTCACATGGAGAGATACCTCGCGTGGCTGCTACGCATCGACACGAACGCATTACTGAACTCCAAGGCCGTGTGGACAACAAGAAACTGGTAAGAACGATGGGATCACGAACTAATCACTGATATTTGCAGGTAAACATTCCATCGGTTGGGCTGAACCTTGACCCTGCCATACTGCCATAAGAGTAAGATCGAACTGGTGTGCAAAAAGAAAGACAGCAGAAAGACAACAACGACATGCTTTATTGTTGTTCTGTGATGCACGCAATTTCATAGCTAATCTCTGCTTTCGTTCTACGCCCCGGAGTGTGTGTGTGTACCCGTAGGAGCTGCGCAAAACTCACGACACCACCTCTGACTCTGCGCTTGGAATTTCCATTTGACAATTTGGAATGAACCTGGAAGTAACATACGATAAAAACGCCTTGTTATGGTCTAGAAAAACTGCCGCCGATTGATTTGCAATTTGCGAATGATAAGGAGCTGGCTAATGCATTCATCCAGCCTCCAACTATCTACTTATTGATCGTGCAGAGATAATTCACGTCCTGTTTCAGAGAGTTGTTTCGATAGAAATATGTGCATTTCACACCGGGATCCCCTAATTACCACGTTGTTGGGGCCAATTTGTTCTGCAATTCCACCGGACTGAGTGACGTTACTGGCACAGTTCCACCACAGATCTATTTTGAGGAATGAGATGAATCTCATCAGCGGTTACGTGTCCTATAGTACACTCATCCCACCCGTTGTGGGTCAGCTGTTTGAGTATTCTTGACAGTGAATGAAGTAGAAAAGTTTGTACGCCGGTGGGCTTACAGTTGCACAAGCCTGATTAACTTCATCATTGAACGAGTTCTTTGGTAACGAATATCGATTCCATCTAAGAACTGAAAAACTTGTTTGAGCAATACGGAGAAAAATTCTCACTCTTCTTAATTTGGAATAGTTTTTAAAATACGAACGGCAGAAACCAATCCCATGATCCTTGATTACGGTAACAGCAAATAAATGACGAAGAGTAATCGCTCACCCACTCGGCAATTTAGCCCAAACAAAATGAATGGTTGAAGAATGACGAGTCAGTGTCCCAGCTTACCTGTCACCGAAGGAAAATAGATAGCCAGCAGAATCATGAAACTTGTACTAACATCGGCTATATTCGGTCCCTGACCTAATTCTCGTAGAGCCGGAAAGTCCAAATTATCATACGTCTGACCTTTTTCACGATAGTATGACGGCCAGAAATTCTCTGTGTGGGGGAAGAGGACCGAAATAGTACAAGAACGTCAGGATGGCTCAAAAGACGCGTAACAAAAGTTATTAAAATGCCACAAACTGAAAAACAACGCCCAGTTCCTTATTGCTACTCTTCTTCAGGTCGTAGAGGAAATATGTGTGACAAAAGCAAGCATGAGATTTAATAGATCCGAAGTTGAATGTTGTCACAATGTTTTTCTGAACAGATTTTCTTCGAGCTTACTGTGTTTTTACAATCCAGCGGATTGTGCCAGTGCCGAACCTGAAATGTAAGTGTCTGTGCGCGAGCATTCGAGAAGATACAGAGAAATAAGAAAAATCTCGAATTGCTGTCATGAGATAAGAAAAATAACTTTTTGGTACTTTGGGGGCTAACTTGAACTCGTTTAGATTGTCTATATTTCAAGCAGAGCGGATACTCAGCGATTTGGAGGAACAAATGTTTGGCCTCAGTGAACTGCTTTTACGCTCCTCAATTTGTGGCCCTCAGATGAATTTCAAGCTGATATCCGCTGTTTCCACGCTTCAGAGGATGGTTATAACTGAACAATCAACCAACGACGATGACTGCAACAACGGCTTGATTAAATCCTAGAGTGCTCATCAAGGTGTATTTTCGGAAAACACTTCTAAAGCGATACGTCACTCCAACAAGTTAAACTGCCGTGAAGTAGTCTTCAGATTTACAACCAAAATATTTGGGGAGAACAAAGCAAAGCGATACCATTTGCAGAAGAAGTATAACTAAATTTTAGTGAGTGGGTGTTCATCTTCAACCCTAGACGAATACAACATCTGAAATGTTTTCTCATTTATTGTTAGTGTTCAATCGTTAATCGGCGCTTCTGTCCATTTCAGGTGAAATGTTGCTATTTTCATCGAAGAGACCAGTCGCCTTAAAATACCGATGTGAATTCTTTACCGAGGTGGCAGTCAAACCAGTAGCACAGCACTGAAACTTGACACAACGGAGAAAGCGGGAATAAACCCGCACAGTAAAACTGCACCGATCGAGATGGGATGAACCAAATTATTGATCGGAATGAAATTGTATGAATGTATGTAAGCGTGTGTGTGTGTGGCCGAGTTGAATTGTTACCAACTAGATTCGTTTTCAGGTACAATAATTCACATGATGCTCCACAGAAATAAAACCACGGAATAGATATATCAACTGGTGAATGTATTTTTTTCTCCAAACCCAGTTGACCGTCATTCAAGACCTTTTGTTAAGGCCTGGTTTTCAGGTCAAGAAAATGTTCAGCGCACAAAGGAACGCAAGCTCGCACATGGTCTTTATGGGTCACGTGAGTGTACTCTATTTACACGCACGCACCCACTCACCCACACACAGCCACAAGCATATCAGGGCACATCGCCGCACATCTGCAGCTGGTTGAAAGTGGGAACAGTCTGTCGACTCATAATGACCTGTGGCCGAGGGGAGGAGATTATCACCACACGCAAAACCGATCGAATCAAAGAGAAACTGGATGCACATTCCGGAGCATTCCCATTAACCGCAAACATCCGAACTTATTGTCCGTACAATGCTGAGAGGTCAAGTAGGCATTACGTGAAGTTCCAATAGGCAGCTTGAATGGTAGTTGACAGTGGGAACGAAACACTTCGGGATGGAGAACACCTCTGATGACAAAATGAGAATATTTTATCCTAACATTGCCCTGATGACCGATCGCCAGCAGTCGGTGGCATAATGAAATTACGCTGCGTCATTTTGTCACTGCCCACACGTAAACGGACGGGAAATTGTGCTCCACAGGAGACACAAAGAATCACACGAGGTTAAGTGCGGCGATTCATAATGAATTTTGATGGTTAGTCCAAAAAATAAACAATTCCACAGCTTGCATGTCCCAAAACACCAAATAAACTTTACTACCAGTAGTCCTCTAGTAAAATTTTACTTTACTTACTAATTCGATTTATCTCTGAATTTTCCGCCGTTATATACCAAGTTGTATACGTTCTAGGGAGGAAAGATATAGTGGAGAAACGCGGTATTGAGTGCCTAATAGTGAAAAATAAGGTTTGAAAGACCGCATACGTTCATAAAGGCTGAATCACAGGATGCGGCAGCAGGAACTACCACAGAGTAAACATATAAACCATAGTTGCATTATTAAAAGCTCTATCCTGACAAAAAGTGTAAAACCCTCAATCTCTGTAATCAAACTAAGCGGGAACGTATCGTGATGTAAGTCGAAAGTTGTTTTGGAACCATCTATGGAGTAGAGAATTCGCTTGCATGAAACACCTTGAGTAACCTTAAGGATATAAAAAGTAAACAATTTTGGTAAGCCTCCACGGGGACAAGAGTGCTGTTATTGGCGAGCTTTACTCTGTGAAGGAATGTATTTCGATCATTGAAATCGTGCAGGAGAGTCCAGCAGACTATTCGGACAATAAAACCAGTCAAATAATGAAGAATTAGACCGAAGTTCACATCGAAAATGCCGTTTCGTAAGATATAGATAAAAAGAGAACAGAACACAAGGAAAACCTCATTAAAAGAACTCGGGTTTTGTGGGTAAACATCTGTAACTTACTGTAAAAGTTATCTGATTTCAATCCAGGCATTGCAGGATAATAAGATAGATTGTTGTTCTCGAAAAAAGCACACGATTCCGGTGTTGCAGTGGCGTTATTCAAACAGTATGCCTGGTATATAGGTCCGGTCTCATTTTTCGAACAATCCATTGTCCCGTTTACAGTGACAAAGTGATAAGACAATAAACGACCACCCAAGGCGCAAACACTGAAATCAGACAATGCGTGAATTAAAACACAGTACGACACAGACAGCATATAGTGTGTGTGAATATGTATGCATATATATT